CCGCCGCCCCGCCGCCCCGCCGCCCCGCCGCCCCGCCGCCCGTCCCAGCCCTGGCAGCCTCCCGGGGCCCCGCCCCCGCCCGCACTTTGCGTTCCGCGCGCCGCGCCGGTCCCAGGACCCCACGTCGGGCTGCCCGCGACCCGCCTGCCACGCCCGCCCGTGTGCTCGCCCGTCCCCGCCCGCTTGGGGCCCGGGGCCCGGGGCCGCGGCCGCGCCCTAGCTGGGCCTCCGTGAGCGGGGCCGCCTCCCGTGTCCCCGCGCCGTCCCGGCCGCCCCGAGCGCGGCGCCGTCAGGCAGGACGCGGGCAGCCCGACGCGGGGTCCTGGCACGGGCGCGGCGCGGGGCGCGGGCTCTCAGGCGGCTGTGGCCCGGGTGGCTGCGATGCTGTGGCCGCGGCTGGCGGCCGCCGAGTGGGCAGCGCTGGCCTGGGAGCTGCTGGGCGCCTCGGTGCTGCTGATCGCCGTGCGCTGGCTGGTGCGGCGGCTGGGCCCGCGGCCGGGGGGCCTGGGCCGCAGCGGGACCCCCGTTCCTCCGCCGCGCGCGGCCGCGGCCCCCGCCTCAGGTGAGGCCCAGGCGGTCGCTGGGCCCCGGCACCCCGGCCCGTCCCCCGCCCCGGTCCCGTCCCCTGGCCCCGGCCCGGCCGCGCTCCTCGGGCTCCCGGCCCCGCAGCAGTTGGGCGAGGCCGCCGCGAGAACCGGAGCCGCGGCGCAGCAAGCCGGGCGGACGAGCGCGGCGCGAGACGCCCGGGGCCTGGCGGGAAAGGCCGTTCCGACCGCGGAAAGGGCAGTTGGGGGGACCTGGCTTCCCGGGGCGGGGGCGGGGTCGGGGGATCCCGGGGAGGGCCGCGAGGTGGCAGCGCGGCTGGGCCGGGAGGCGGCGGGGCTCGGCGGGGCGTTGGCGCGGACGCTTGCCGTGGAGATGGAGACCTGGGAGGGCGGGGGCGGCGGGGGCGGCGGGGGCGGCGGGGGCGGCGGCCCCTGGGTCCCGGGTGTGCGCGGAGTGTGACGCCTCCGCGGTTACCGGCCGCTGAACACGAGGTGGAGACGCGAAGGCGAGTGTGACTTCGGGGTTTGCGGCTGGCGGACGCGGAGACGCGGGCGTTCTCTGCCTTGGGGTGGGCTGTCGGGCCTGGGGACGTGGGTCTGCGTCGTTTTACGTTTGGGGTAACTGTGATGTTGTGGACGGTGTATCGCTCCATTTCCGTTCCCTTTTCCCGGCGTACAACTCAAGTCCCTGGAACCTCCAGACTGATGTCCTTTGCAGGCCGAGTGGACCGGTGGCTGGTCGCAGGAAAGACCAAGGCAGGGTTAGAGGTTTTGGGGACTTCCAGTCCCACCCCCAACCTCCGGGGACGGGAGGCGGGCTGAAGGCTGAGCTGATGACTCATGCCTGTGAAATGAAGTGTCTGCAGAAACCCGAAAGGGCTGGGTTCAGGGAGCTTCCACATAGCACGTGCGGGCTCCTGGGGGCGGTGCCCGAGAGGCCCCGAACCTCCAAGCCCTTACCCCCAGCTTTCCCTCACGCATCCCTTCACATGTATTCTTTGTAACCCTTTACACTATGCTGATAACTGTAAGTAAATAAAATATGTCTCTGAGTTCGGGAGCCATTCTAGCAAATTAACGGAACCGGAGAAGGGGGTTGTGGGGACCCCAGTTGTGGTCCGTCGGAAGCGCAGGTCAAACAGCCTTGGCACTGGGAGTGGGGGGCAGTCTTGTGGGGCTGAGCCCTTAACCTGTGCGGTCTGAGGGTGTCTCCAGGAAGATGCTGTCAGAAGAGATTACTGAATTAGAATGGAACTGCACAGACCACACCCAGCCTGTGTCCACAGCAGAACTGATCACCTGCGTGATTCGTGGGGAGAAAACCCCCACATATCTGGCGTCTGAAGCGTGGTGCCAGAGTCTAGTGGGGGACGCTGAGTTTGTTTTTACCCTGAATTGTCCGACTGTGAGTTGCTGGGGAGCAGTGCTTTCTGATGTCGAGTGGGGACTCCTGTGCGATTGTGCTGAGCTTGTGTTCTGGCCCTACCACTTATTTTTTATTTGTTTATTTTTGAGACGGAGTCTCTGTCGTCCAGGCTGGAGTGCCGTGGTGCGACATTGACTCACTGCAGCCTCCATCTCCTGGGCTCAAGTGATTCTCCTGCTTCAGGCTCCCGAGTAGCTGGGACTATAGGCGCCTGCCACCGTGCCCGGCTAATTTTTGTAATTTTAGTAGAAATGGGGTTTCACCATGTTGGCCAGGTTGGTCTTGAACTCCTGAACTTAGGTGATCCTCCTGCCTCGGCCTCCCAAAGTGCTGGGATTACAGGCGTGAGCCACCGCGCCGGCCTTACCACTTACTGCTGTGGGCCTAACGTGTCAGGTTTTAGCCTGCTGGATTAGGAACAGGGATGATGATAGTGCTTGGTTAGTAGGGTACTTTGGGAGTTGGGCAAGTGCAGCCCTCGGTATGTGTGAAGCACCACTAAGTGTTACTGTCACCAGTGGCATCATCCAAGCAGAGCTCTGGACCAGCTGGCTGCGGGTGAGGCTGGTGTTCTGAGAATGGCTGAAATAGAAAACACTGATACTTCCACAAGTTAGCCGAGATGTAGAGAAACTGGGTCTCATGCATTGCGGGTGGGAGTGGTAAGTGGGGCAGCTGCTCTGGAAGTCAGCCTGGCAGGTTTCTGGGAAGTCAAACCTGCCCTGCATTCCTGAGCTTTTAGACAAATTAAAACGATTTTCACACAAAAACCGGTGTTTGATGTTCATAGCCACTCTATTTGTAATTGCCAGAAAGTGAAATACCCCAAATGTACCTCTAGGGGTGAATGGTTAAACGTACATGCTGATGCCACAGGGTGCCACTCCCCAGCCATCCACTCTGCCACGTGGTGGATCTAAAGGGCATTATGCTGAATGGGATAAGCCAATCTCAGAAGCTGTGTACTGTAAGATTCCATTTCTGTAATATTCTTAAAATGACACAGTTGTGGGATAGAACAAATTCGCGGTTGCCAGAGGCTGGGGGTCGTGGGGGAGATGGGACTTGTCTGTAGAGCAGCAGGGGGAGGTCTTTGTGGCAGCGGGACCATTTTGTATTTGATTGTTGCAGTGATTAGCACAAGTCTGTACATGTGATAAACTGCCATAGAGTTATACACGAAGACATCTACACAGGAGCCTGCAGGGACTGGTGAGGTCCGAGGATGTTGTGTTGTGCTAGTGCCAGTTTCTTGGTTTTGGTAACGTTTTAGTTACATAAGGTGTCAACCATGGGGGAAGCTGGGTGGTGGGCCCACAGGATCTCTCTGTTCAACTTTTGTAACATTTAGATGTTATAGACTTAGATCTGTAATTATTGCAAAATGAGAATTTAAATCCTGTGGGCCAGGCAGGGTAGCTGACACCTGTAATCCTAAACTTTTGGGAGGCCGAGGCAGGTGGATTGCCTGAGCTCAGGAGTTTGAGACCAGCCTGGGCAACATAGTGAAACCTGTCTCTACTAAAATAGAAAAAATTAGCCGGGTGTGGTGGTGAGTGCCTGTAGTCCCAGCTACTTGGCAGGCTGAGGCAGGAGGATCGCTTGAACCTGGAAGAGGGAGGTTGCAGTCGAGATCGCACCGCTGTACTCCAGCCTGGGTGACAGAGAGAGACTCCGTGTCAAAAAAGAAATCCTGTGTATCAGGGCTTACATTCCCCAAATGTTAATGTCTTACCTAATCACGCTGCAAATGTGCAAACCGGGAAATAACATTAATGGACGGCCTGGCACTGTGATTCGCCTGCCACCATGTCCAGCTGATGTTTGTTTTTTTAGTAGAGGTGGCGTTTTACCATGTTCGCCAGGCTGGTTTCAAACTTCTTACCTCAAGTGATCCACCAGCCTTGACCTCCCAAAGTGCTAATGATTACAGGTGTGAGCTGCTGCGCCTGGCTTTACTTATTTATTGAGTATGTAAATCACAAACATGATTTTAAAAGTCAGAAGCCTATAGAAACTTAAATTCAGAAGCATTACTTCCCCAATCCCTTCTCCTCCTCCTCCTCCTCCCCCCCCCTCTTCTTCTTCCTTCTTCTTCTTCTTCTTCCTTCTTCTTCTTCTTCCTTCTTTCTTCTTTTTTTTTTTTTGAGACAGGGTCTGATTCTGTCACCCAGGACGAACTGCAGGGGTGCTGTCTCGGCTCACTGTGGCCTCCATCTCCTAGGCTCAAGTGATCCTCCTGGCTTACCCCCTGAGTAGCTGGGGCCATAGGTACGCGTCACTGTGCCTGGCTAATTGTTTTGGTAGAGACGGGGTTGCCCACCCAGGTGGGTCTCAAACTTCGGAACTCAAGTGATCTGCCCACCTCAGCCTCCCACAGTGCTGGAATGAGGCATGTGCCACAGCACCCGCCCCATCTATTCTAATGCATTTGTTTTGTTCCGTTCTTGCCATCTGGTTCCCACCCTGTTTCCACTTTCTCCTCTCTTTGTGCACCCATGAACAGACGTTGGCATTTTATACTAAGAGTATTAGTAACAGCATACGTTTTTGTTTTTATTCAAGCCGCCTTTGTAACACATTATGTGCTTACTCTGAAGGATTAATAAATTTGTATTGCTTGACAGCATAGTAGCAACTGCTGACATTTATGGTCATTCGTCAGTGCCAGGCACAGTGTCATAGACCTCCTGCTTTATTTTATACAGTTTTCACTGTGCCCTAAGGAGGAGAGCTTTAGTATGTCCATTTTATTTATTTTATTTTTTTGAGATGGAGTCTCACTCTGTCACCGAGGCTGGAGTGCAGTGGCGTGATCTCGGCTCACTGTAGCCTCTGCCTCCCGGGTTCAAGTGATTCTCCGCCTCAGCCTCCCAAGTAGCTGGGATTACAGGCACCCGCCACCACGCCTGGCTAATTTTTTGTATGTTTAGTAGAGATGGGGTTTCGCCATGTTTGCCAGGCTGGTCTCAAACATCTGACCTCAGGTGATTCATGTTCCTTGCCTTGCCAAAGTGTTGGGATTACAGGCGTGAGCCACTGCGCCTGGCAAGTATGTCCATTTTATAGATGAGGAAACCGAGGTCTAAAGTTTTAAGTAACTTGGCTAAGGCTGCACAGTTAGTGATGTCATATAATGTACTTTTTCTGTTTAGGGCTTGCTTGGTTGCAGGGACAAAACCTCCCTCCAGTTAGCTCATGTTAAAAAGGTGACATTAGGCCGGGCGCGATAGCTCACGCCTGTAATCCTAGCACTTTGGGAGGCTGACGTGGGTGGATCACCTGAAGCCAGGAGTTCAAGACCAGCCTGGCCATCATGGTGAAACCCCATCTTCAAAAAAAGAAAAAATGACATTAGGCTGGGTGCAATGGCTCATGCCTGTAATCCCAACACTTTGGGAGGCCGAGGTGGGTGGATCACCTGAAGCCAGGAGTTCAAGACCAGCCTGACCAACATGGTGAAACCCTCTCTCTACTAAAAATACCAAAATTAGTCAGTCATGATGGCAGGTGCCTATAATCCCAGCTATTTGGGAGGCCTAGGCAGGGGAATTGCTTGAACCCAACAGGCGGAGGTTACAGTGAGCCGAGATTCCGCAACTACACTGAGTGGCAGAGTGAGACTCTGTCTCAACAAAAACCCAAAAGGGTGACATTAGAGTAAGGACAGAGTTATATGAAAAGTGGAATACTGCCTGGAACTGAGACAGATCCTGTTTATTGATAATTATTCTCCACTTGCCCCCAGCCCTTAAACTGTGCCCTGCATGTGGCTTTGACCTACTGTGTGCTTGCTCCACTGTAGATTGCTACAGCCCTTCACAGCAGATCCTCAGCACCACACTGTCTCTGCATAGAGAATCTGGTGACCTGCTTATGCCTGGGCTGAATCTTGGGGGTCACTAGGTTCCCACTCTAGGGTCTTTGGCAGATTCATTTGTTGTTGAAAAGACCATCCCCTCTGCTAATAAGTAACAGCATTTAAAAAATTTTCTTGGCCGGATGCAGTGACTCATGCCTCTAATCTCAGCACTTTGGGAAGCCAAGGCGGGTGGATCACGAGATCAAGAAGACCAAGACCATCCTGGCCAGCATGATGAAACCCTGTCTCTACTAAAAATACAAAAATTAGCTGGGCATGATGGTACACACCTGTAATCTCAGCTACTCAGGGGGCTGAGACAGAATTGCTTGAACTCGGGAGTTGGAGGTTGCAGTGAGCCGAGATCGTGCCACTGCACTCCAGCCTGGCACCTGATGACAGAGTGATACTCTGTCTCAAAAAAAAAAAAAAAAAATTGGAATTGCACAGGTTGGGGGTTGGCATCATAAAAATGTTTTTTGCCAGGCGTGGTGGCTCACGCCTCTAATCCCAGCACTTTGGGAGGCAGAGGCGGGGGTGGATCAGTTGAGGTCAGGAGTTTGAGACCAGCCTGGCCAACATGGTGAAATCCCGTCTCTACTAAAAATACAAAAATTAGCAGGGCATGATGGTACACACCTGTAATCTCAGCTACTCAGGGGGCTGAGACAGAACTGCTTGAACCGGGGAGGTGGAGGTTGCAGTGAACCAAGGTCACGTCGCTACATCACTGCACTCCAGCCTAGGCAACAGAGTGAGACTCTGTCTTAAAAAATAAAACTTTTTCTTCTAAAGAGATGGAGTTTTGCTCTTGTTGCCCAAGCTGGAATGCAGTGGTGCGATCTCAGCTCACTGCAACCTCTGCCTCCCAGGTTCAAGTGATTCTCCTGCCTCAGCCTCCCAAGTAGCTGGGACTGCAGGCACGCAGCACCGCACCCGGCTAACTTTTTGTATTTTTAGTAGAGATGGGGTTTCACCATGTTAGCAAGGATCGTCTCTATCTCCTGACCTTGTGATCTGCCCACCTTGGCCTCCCAAAGTGCTAGGATTACAGGCTTGAGCCACCACGCCTGGCTGAAAACTTTTTGATGGAATATGCAGAAATTGATACAATAATGATAAACCCTAGTACCCCTCACCGGCTTTAGCACGTGCTAGTATTTTGTGACTGTGTTTGACTTTTTTTGTCTTGGCCCTAGGTGAAATGACAATGGATACCATCTTGGCTCGATTGAAACTTCTGAATCCAGATGACCTTAGAGAGGAAATCATCAAAGCTGGATTGAAATGTGGACCCATTACATCAACTACAAGGTTTATTTTTGAGAAAAAATTGGCTCAGGCTTTACTGGATCAAGGAGGAAGACTGCCTTCTTTTGACCACCACGAGACAGCTGCCGTAGCTCTCAGCCAAGACACACAAAGGATTTTGAAGTCAGCTGAAGGGAACCCAACTGATCAGGCTAGTTTTTCTGAAGACAGAGATTTTGGTTACAGTGTGGGCCTGAATCCTCCAGAGGAGGAAGCTGTATCGTCCAAGACCTGCTCGTTGCCCCCCAGCACTGTGGCGGGGGCCGGGACCCCCAGAGCTGGAGTGACTGAGTCTGCGGAGCCTCCTCTGTACTATGGGGTGTGTCCAGTGTATGAGGACATCCCAGCGAGAAACGGTAATGGGACCGTTGTCTAGTATTTCGTTACACAGCACCCACGGGGAGGGGCAGAATGAGGTTTCAAAATGGAAAAATACAGATTAAAAAAAGAAAAAATCCAATCACCATAATCTCTTCATCCCAGTCAACCACTGTTAACATTTTTATATAGAACTTTTCTGAAATATTTGTGAATCTGTGTGAGAACTTTTTTTTTTTTTTAGAGACGGAGTCTCGCTCTGTCACCAGGCACCAGGCTGGAGTGCAGTGGCGCAATCTCGGCTCACTGCAACCTCCGCCTCCCGGGTTCAGGCAATTCTCCTGCCTCAGCCTCCTGAGTAACTGGGACTACATGCGCATGCCACCATGCCCAGCTAATTTTTATATTTTTAGTAGAGATGGGGTTTCACCATGTTGGTCAGGATGGTCTCAATCTCTTGACCTCATGATCCGCCCACCTTGGCCTCCCAAAGTGCTGGGATTACAGGCTTGAGCCACTGCGCCCGGCCATTTTTTTTTTTTTTTTTTAAGAGACAGAGTCTCGCTTTGCTGTCCAGGCTGGAGTACAGAGGCATGATCTCAGCTTAAGCAGTTCTTCTGCCTCAGCCTCTCGAGTAGCTGGGACTACAGGCATGTGCTACCACGCCTGGCGAATTTTTATGTTTCAGTAGAGACGGGGTTTCACCATGTTGGCCAGGCTGGTCTCGAACTCCTGAGCTCATGGTCCACCTGCCCCAGTCTCCCAAAGTGCTGGGATTGCAGGCATGAGCCACCGCGTGCGGCTCTACATGAGAACTTTTAAAATGTGTTAGGTAAATTGGATTCTGTGAGACATGCTGGACTTGGAGATATAAATATTCATATTAACTGGCTGCTGCTGTTGGCTGGGAACTTTGTTATCTCTCCCTTTTTAAAATTCATTGTAACCTGAACACCTTTTATGTTAATGAATGCAAATGGCCCATGATTGTATAAGTAATTTTCAGCATCAAAGAATCGTAATTTTATTGTTTTTATTTATTCATTTATCTGAGACAGGGTCTCACTTTGTCACCTGGGCTGCAACGCAGTAGTGCAGTCATGGCTCACTGCAGCCTCAAGCTCTCTGGGCTCAGGTGATCTCAACAACTCACTGCAATGTCTGTCTCCCAGGCTCAAGTAATCCTCCCACCTCAGCCTCCTGAGTAGCTGGGATTGCAGGCATTGGCCAGTACGTTGGCCATTTTTGTGTGTGTTTTTGGTAGAGACGAGGTTTCCCCATGTTGCCCAGGCTGGTCTCCAACTCCTGGGCTCAAGTGATCTGCCCACTGTGGCCTCCCAAAATGCTGGGGTTACAGGTGTGAGCCACCTAGCTAATTTAAAATTTTTTGGGGGACAATTGCTGTTGTCCCCCAGGCTGGAGTGAAATGGCGCATTCTCAACTCAATGCAACCTCTGCTTACTGGGTTCAAGCCTCAGCCTTCCCAGTAGCTGGGATTACAGGTGCCTGCTACCATGCCTGGCTAATTTTTGTACGTTTAGTAGAGACGGGGTTTCACCATGTTGGCCAGAATGGTCTTGTTCTCTTGACCTCGTAATCTGCCCACCTTGGCCACCCAAAGTGCTGGGATTATTGGCGTGAGCCACTGTGTCCAGCCAATATATATATTTTTTTAAGTGGCTGGTCTTGCACTCCTGGCTTTAAGCAGTTCTCCCATCTGAGCCTCCCAAAGTCCTGAGATTAGATTACAGGTGTGACCCACTGTGACCAGCCCAAGAATTGTAATTTTAAACGAGATTTAGCATTGAAAAAAAATGAGAACTCAATATTGATTCAATGCCAGAAACTGCACACTGTCATTAGTATTGTTGTTATTACTGTGGGCCGGGTGCGGTGGCTCACGCCTATAATCCCAGCACTTTGGGAGGCCGAGGCGGGTGGATCATGAGGTCAAGAGATCAAGAACATCCTGGTCAACATGGTGAAACCCCTTCTCTACTAAAAATACCAAAAAAAATTAGATGGGTGTGGTGGCGCACACCTGTAGTCCCAGATACTGGGGAGGCTGAGGCAGGAGAATTGCTTGAACCCGGGAGGCGGAGGTTGTGGTGAGTCGAGATCACACCATTGCACTCCAGCCTGGGTAACGAGCGAAACTCCGTCTCAGAAAAAAAAAAAAAAAGGAATTATTATTACTGTGATGTCATTTGTGGTGATGTCTACGAGTAGGAAGTTGATAAAACACCATGAATAGATACTCTCCCATAAGATTTTTTTTTTTGAGAGACGGAGTCTTGCTATGTTGCCCAGGCTGGAGTGCAGTGGCTATTCACAGGTTCGATCCAACTGCTGATCAGCACGGGAGTTTTGACCTGCTCCATGTTCAACCTGGGTCAGTTCACCCCTCCTTAGGCAACCTGGTGGTCTCCCGCTTCTGGGAGGTCACCATATTGATGCCGAACTTAGTGCAGACACCTGACCAGCATAGCGTACTACAGCCCAGAACTCCTGGGCTCAAGCATCCTCCACAGCCTCCCGAATAGCTGGGACTACAGGCGCGCGCCACTGCACCCAGCTCCGGAAGATCCTTTTTTTTTTCACTGATAAAGCTTATAAATTATTATCATTATTATTACTTTAGAGACAGGGTTTCACCATATTGGTCAGGCTGGTCTAGAACTCCTGACCTCATGATCTGCCTGCCTCTGCTTCCCAAAGTGCCTGGATTACAGGCGTTAGCCACCACGCCTGGCCTAGATCTTTTTAAAGAATATTTAGTGGCCGGGGGCAGTGGCTCACGTCTGTAATCCAGGCACTTTGGGAGGCAGAGGCAAGTGGATCATGAGGTCAGGAGTTCGAGACCATCCTGGCTAACATGGTGAAACCCCGTCACTACTAGAAATACAAAAAATTAGCCGGGTGTGGTGGCATGTGCCTTTAGTCCCAGCTACTTGGGAGGCTGAGGCAGGAGAATTCCTTGAACCCGGGAGGCGGAGGTTGCAGTGAGCCGAGATCACGCCACTGCACTCCAACCTGGGCAACAGAGTGAGACTCTTGTCTCAAAAAAAAAAAAATCTTTAGTAACACTGGGAAACGGTCATTGTTTCCACGCTTTCCACCAGAGTGTGTGTTGGTAAATGTTCCCTTTCATCTTTTGAAGAAGGGACACCCGCCTTCCTGTGTGAGGTTGGTTACCTTTGTTCATGGCTATAGTCTCTTGTGTTGGATGATTGTTTGGTCATATTACCATGGCCATTTTTATCCAATAGCGGATAGTAACTATTCTTCTGTTATCTTGCTTATAAATTTCTGTCTGCTGGCCAGTCGTTTATATTTTATGTATTTATGATAGTCTCATGCACTGCAGAGCTTTAATATTTTCGTAAAATATGATTATCTCATTTTGGATGGTTTCTTGGCACATTAAGAAAGCCATTCCCAGCCAGAACGGCTCATCTAATTAAAAATAATTGAGGCCGGGGACTGTGGCACACGCCTGTAATCCCAGCACTTTGGGAGGCCGAGGTGGGTGGATTACCTGAGGTCAGGAGTTCAAAACCAGCCCGACCAACATGGGGAAACCTTGACTTTACTAAAATGCAAAAGTCAGCTGAGCATGATGTGACTGGTGCCTATAATCCCAGCTACTCGGGAGGCTAAGACAGGAGAATCGCTTGAACCCGGGAGACGGTGGTTGCAGTGAGCTGAGATTGCGCCACTGCGCTACAGCCTGGGCGACAGAGCGAGACACTTTCTCAAGGAAAAAAAAAGGCATTCCTGGCTGGGCGAGGTGGTTCACGTCTGTAATCCCAGTACTTTGGCGGGGCGAGGCGGGTGTATCACCTGAGGTTAGGAGTTTAAGAGCAGCCTGTCCAACATGGTGAAACCCTGTCTCAAGTTAAAAATACAGAAAATTAGTCAGGCGTGGTGATGAAGGACTGTAATCTCAGCTACTCGGGAGGCTGAGGCAGGAGAATCACTTGAATTTGGGAGGCGGAGGTTGCAGTTAGCCTAGATCACACCATTGCACTCCACCCCGGGCAACAAGAACGAAACTCCGTCTCCAAAAAAAAAGGCATTTCCCATCCAAAATTATGTTTAAAATTCTCTTATGTTCTTGGCTGACGTCTTCATAGTTTTGTTTTGTTTTTAAGAGATGGGGTTTCACCTTGTTGGTCAGGCTGGTTTCATACTCCTGACCTCAAGTGATCCACCCACTTCGGCCTCCGGGAGTGCTGGGATTTACAGGTGTGAGCCGCCGCACCTTCATAGTTTTTTTTGTTTGTTTGTTTTTGTTTTTTAACTTGCCTTTCAATTACTTACATATGCACGTTTTTGAAATGAAGTTTCGCTCTTATTGCCCAGGCTGTAGTGCAGTGGCGTGATCTTGGCTCACTGCAACCTCTGCCTCCTAGGTTCAAGTGTTTCTCCTGCCTCAGCTTCCCAAGTAGTTGGGATTACAGCCATGCACCACCACGCCCAGCTAATTTTTGTATTTTTAGTAGAGAAGGGGTTTCACCACGTTGGCCAGGTTAGTCTTGAACTCCTGATCTCAGGTGATCCTCCCACCCTGGCTTCCCAAAGTGTTGGGATTACAGGTGTGAGTCACAGTCCCCGGCCTCAATTATTTTTAATTAGATCTTTATATGAAATTTATTTCTTAAGATAGAATCTTAGGATGTATAATTACATATGTGTCTATAATATGTATCATGTTATTCACATGCATCTACATACGTGATCCATCTTGTTTATTCTGTTATTTTGGCTCGCGAAGGCCCTTTTTCTTCAGGATTAAAGATCTGAACTAAGCCTGGTGACTGGGTAGCAGACGTGAGCCGATGATGAAAGGCAGGGCGTGACCTGCTACAGTCACTCATTTCTGATTTTCATTTGTTACTTTTCCTACCCAGAAAGGATCCATGTTTACATAAATAAAAAGGAAGCACTGCAAGCTGTCAAAATGATCAAAGGGTCCCGATTTAAAGCTTTTTCAACCAGAGAAGATGCTGAGAAATTTGCTAGAGGAATTTGTGATTATTTCCCTTCGCCAAGCAAAACATCCTTACCACTTTCTCCTGTGAAAGTAGCACCACTCTTTAGCAATGATGGGTCGAAAGGTAAATGATGCAGCAGTTCACATCTTTTACACCACACCGTTGTGCCTTCTTTCCTCCTCTGTGGTAACTTGTTTTCTCCATGAGGGTAGAGTCGATGGGCCTGAGCAGACCGGGAAGCCACTCTAGCTCTGATGCTGATGTGCCAGTATTTAGCAC